CTTATTAGAGTTCATTTTAACGCAATTGCTTCTCAATTTTGGTATTTATTGGCATTGGGGGGAGATAACTCTTGGGGCAGCGTGTATGTGTGTGTGGTGGTGGGGGGGTCCTTGTGCCTTTTATGATGCTTAGCAGCATTCAGGCCTCTACCCACAAAATGACAGTAGCACACATGCYCAGCATTCTTCTCACTTCCTAGTCTTGACAACCAAAAAAGTCTACAGATGTGGCCAAAAGTTTCCTAGGGGAAGGAGAGTGGGCAAAATATCATGGTTGAGAAATACTGATCTAAGCTTACACTTACAATATTCCATTCCACTTTACTTTGTTCTAGTTTTGGTGCCAGGACCTCCAGCATGCTAGGCAAGTTCTCTACCACTGAGTTATTTCCCCAGAACTTTTTATTTTATTTTGAGACAGGGTCTCACAAAGTTGCCCTGACCGGGCTGTTCTCGATCATATAGCCCTTCTGGCTCACTATCCCAAGTAGCTGGGGTTTCACCATACCCAGCTCGTTTTACTTTTTATTAAAAAACAAACAAAACCCACACACAACTCTCAGCTTCAATAAGCTTACAATCTAAGGGTAACACACCCAAAAGTCTTTTAAAAGCTTTTAAATCTTATTGCAATATCCTTATAAATAAATAAGGAAGTCCTCAGTATTATAGAGACTGAGCATTTAGTCCAAAGATCTTTCTTTCCTCCTAAGTTATAAACCTTAATGTCTTCTATTTATTGAAAAACATAAATTACGCCCCCCCAAGACTCATACTGTAGTCTTAAGTCAGCTACCATGTACCTTAAAGGGCTGCTTTGTTTTATTTCATTTCATCTGGGATCACACTTAGATTCARATACTTAACTCTACTACTTACTACTTACTAGCTTGACCAAGGTACTAACTTCCTTATGCCTCTCAGTTCCCTCAATTTAAAAATAGTAACACTTATCAATCTAATTCTGGAAGCAGAATAAGTATGTAAAGTGCACAAAAAAATGTGCAGTAGGTAGTAAATGCCCAATATACATTAATTATTAGCTATTATTCTAACTACAACCTTATAAAGACAGGCATCACTCTTACCAATTTAAGATGAAAAGAAAGGCTGAGAGATGAAGAAACTTGCCAGTACTCACCAAACTGTAAGGTGGGATGTAGAAATAATTAAAAAAACTGATTCCAGACCTCACATTTTCCCCATTATGCCAACAAAATCACATTAAAATTTAACTACACCACATCAATCCCACTCCAAAATAATGACCAGCACAGGAGTCACATTTTCATTAAAAGAGATTAATTTAATTTTGAACACAACTAAATTTAAACAAATTACTAAAATAAGGTTACAGAGCTGTTACACAACCACACAGACTTTTAAGCTTTTAAGAAATTCTCTATATGCTATTTTAAGTGATTCTAATTTTTAAAAAAAAGAGAGAGAAAATTCAATTTTTTAAAATATGTCTTTTTTTTTTTTAAAGAGAGAGTGAGAGAGGAGAGAGAGAGAGAGAGAGAATTTTTAATATTTATTTTTTAGTTCTCGGCGGACACAAYATCTTTGTTGGTATGTGGTGCTGAGGATCGAACCCGGGCTGCACGCATGCCAGGCGAGCGCGCTACTGCCTGAGCCACATTCCCAGCCCCAACACATTACTTCTTTCTGAAATCATTTCACTAGTCACTAGTTTTTCAATATTTCATTTATCCTTGACATRTTCTTCAACTTGGACTTTACTACAGGTAGAAAGTCAAAGTACAGGTAGAATGACCAGGTCTATTTAACTTTACCTAGCCCCCAAATATAAGGATTGGAAAAGATCTAGATATTCTATCCCAATCCTGGTGAACAAATGACAGTAACAGAGATAACCTGATAATTTCTCTCAGATCTCCACTAAGAACCTGGTTTTGACCACTCTGACCCTCTTAATTTCCTCTGCTCTTTATAGTACTCATTTGTTTTTAATATTTTTTTTTCTGATTTCACAGTTCATTAATAACCTTCTCAATATAGTGATTATTAAATAGGCTGAGGGTTGTACACATTGTGCATTTTGAATAAATGATCAAAAGAATTTCCATCTCCAACTTACTCTATGAAAGGGAAAGAAGAGGCTCAGAATCTCTGCTATTCTGGATCAAAAATGTAGCTGGTTCCTTCATGTTACTCTTTATCTAATCTTCTACAACCATATGTCAGTCTCACCTACTTCCTTCACAYCAAATTCTCCTTCCTATTCACCAAAGGAATAAAGAAAATCCCATTTCAGCATGCATGTTCAGAAACTTTAGGCTTCACTCTTCTTTCCTCATTATTTCAACAGATTCTRTCAAATTCTTAAAAAAAGCATTAAGGCTGGAGATGTAGCTCAGTGGTACAGCACTTGCCTAGCATGAGCAAGGCCAAGTTTGGTCCCCAGCACTGCAAACAAATAAATACAGAAATTGCTATCAATCTTAAGACTCTTGTTCATTTGTCTATCACTTCCTTGTCTGTGAGATCCAATTATAGGCCATGAATTCTTGATGCTGCCACATGTACACCATTCAGGAAATCTTTAACATCTCTGCCAGTTAAATGAGGAAAACCTCACTTTAACCTTCTCTTATAAATTATGGTTCCTACTCTCCTCTCTCAGTTTTTTTTCTGCCTTGTTCTTCAGACCCTACTCCAGACACAATGAAAGCCTTCCCTTGAACAAGCACCATGGTGAATATTCCTTCTGCCTAGAATATTTACAGCCCCTCCCAAACCTCTTCCCTCAATGCTTACCCCAAAGCCACTACCTCTGTGAAGCTTTTTCTGAGGTTTCTGTTTTCTTTACACTACACAGCATTTTGTTTAGAACCATTTTATGGGAATTATATAATTCACGTTCATGCATTTTTCATATGCAAAAACCTATGGTTCTCTGCTTTGTTCTTCCCTACACTGCCTGGTGCAATGCCTTTCACACAGTGAGCTCTCACTTATAGTTGTCAACCTGAAGATGTGCTTTTCTGTGATTTTTTTAATAGGTTGGCCATCAAGCCAAAATAAGTTTCATAAGCCATTTTACTAAGAATATGTTTAATTTATGCATCAGTGTCTCAGATTAATCAAGTTAACCTCTTCTATTTCCTCTTGGTATTTTAAAAAAAACTGTCCTAATTTCAGGGGTTCTCTTATTAAAATGATCTTCATGAAAGGTCTATTCTAATACACCTGGTCCCTCAAACCACATAATGAAGCAAAACTCTCTGTCACTGACTTAGGCCATCATAAAAACCAAAATTTACAAGAGCCACAAAATAAAAGGAATATCCCTTTGGCTCAGAGTAAACTTGCTAGCAAACAGGGAAACTATAATTCTGAATCACACAGGGTAACTAACAAATCTCAAAACTAATAATAGAAAAGCAACTGAACCACGCTTTTGAGAATGTTCAAAAGCAATACATACCTAGAAATCACTGTCAGTATAAGAGATTCTTGAGATTTCTCTTGACAATAGATAATGCTGTCAATAACTAATGCCATTGAGGTCTCATCATCTTCAAGATCACAAATTTCTTGAATAAAAGCAATCTGGATAGAAGAGCTTTTAAAAGTGCCTCCTCAGCAGGGCGCCATCGCCCCACCTGTAATCCCAGCAGCTTGGGAGGCTGAGGCAGGATGATTGCAAGTTCAAAGCCAGCCTCAGCAATGGTGAGGTTGCTAAGCAACTCAGCAAGACCCAGCCTCTAAAATAAAAAATAGGGCTGGGGATGTGGCTCAGTGGTTGAGTGCCCAAGTTCAATGAGGAAAGTCCCTCCCCTATGCCAAGCCAGGACTGAAGCTAAATCTTGCCTTCACATAGCAAATAATATAAATAAAGTTTTCTCCACTTTAGTACASTCTCTGCATTGCCTTTTTGCCCTTTGCCAGCTATTTCCATCAGCCATGATTAGGTCTGGGTCACCTATATTTGTCTTAGAAAAACAGGTAGGTTAAAGAAGTTTTTTTACAAGGTGAAGAAAAGCACCAGTCTGATTTGTTGAAGGAGAGAAGGTTGGAAAAAAATTTTTTTTCTATTCCCCTTTAAAAAACACCAATCTAGCATGCTTGTCTTTCAAAGCCCACCTAAAATACAACTGGAATAAACATTAAAAAATCAATAGGCATCTTGTAAAGGTGGCATTTAAAGAAATACCAGTTTTGTATAAGGTATTTCATACTGTATTTATAGAAGTAACTGATGATTAAAACATTTAACTTATATTACAGAATGGAGTGCTGGCAAATTTTAAAAACTTAAATGACTGATCAAAAGATCTGTGCAATGACAAAGCTAAAAATATATAATAAGGGTGAATCACAGCAGCCACCTACTCCACCCAACAGTCACCCTGGCTAAGACTGGTCAGTTCAAAACCTGGAAAGCTTTCCTTGCCTACTCCACACCAGAAATGAATTCATTTCAATACATTAGAGAAATGTCATTAAATACTGAAAGTGGCCAGGACATTTTGCTCTTTATATCTGGCTGTGCTCTTTCCACATTTACGCTCCCCCCACCTCCATTCTTAATAGGAGAGAAGCTCAACAGATACTCTTACTGGAAAAATGAACTATCTGCTTAGATTTTCTTTCCATCGTTAGGTTTGAGAGGAAAACCTACTGGAGTCTTTATCAAAAAGATCCTGGGGCCTTCGTTCAACTATCTGAAGGCTGCTGACGATCAAATACATCTAAAGGACTCACAGATCCCAGGAGCAGTCTTCCCCGAAAGGTCAAAGCCGACTCTCAGTCTGTGCAGAACTACTCGACGGTTCAAAGTTTTGGCAACCGGGCACCGGGGAAAAGACTTACCGGGAGTCCAAGCACGAAATAACCTACCGAGGTGGCCAGGGCAAGCCCGCGACAAGGCGAACTCGGACACCCGGTGCCCACGAAACCCTTAGCCAAGAGCCTCGCACAAAAGGCGTCCCGGCTCCCGCCGCCCCTTCTGGGCGCCGAGCTGCGCGACTCACCAGGACCGTGGTGCAGATGGACCTCAGCTCCGACTCCACTTTCTCCCGATAGTCCTTAATCAGCTGCAACTTCTTGTCGGAGGTGTCGGTCTTCTGCTCGATGCTCGAGATGACCCTCCAGGCGGACCTGCGGCCCCCGACCACGTTCTTGTAGGCCACCGAGAGCAGGTTGCGCTCCTCGTTGGACAGCTCAGCGCCCTGCTCGGTCACGGCCTTCATGCAGGTGGCCATGTCGTCGTAGCGCTCGGCCTGCTCGGCCAGCTTGGCCTTCTGGATCAGCTCGGTCTTCTCCATGGCGCGGGGGCCGAGGCCGGGGGCGAAGCGAGCGAGGGCGAGTGCCGACCCTGATCCGGAGTCCTCCTCCTCGAGAGCTGCGAGGGGCGGGGCGGCGCCGGCGGGGACAAAAAGGAGGGAGGGGAGCGCGTCAGACAATGCGGCCCGCCGCCGCCGCCCGCTTTGTCTCCCGCACACGCGGCCCGCTTGAATTTCCCTCGCCCCCGCCCGCCCGTGCCGGGCGTCCGGGAGCTCGCGGGCCGCGCGGGAGGAGGCGGAGACCGGTGCGCGGACCCGGCGCGAACCGCGGCCGCCACCCCCGCCCGGCCGGCCCAAAATGGAAGCGGCCGTTGGCCCCGCACCTTCCCGCCGGGAGCGGACCCCGAGGCGAGCGGCGGGCGCCGGCCGCTCCCGAATGCTGCGCCCCTGCCCAGTCCTCAGGCCCTGAGCGGCCAGAGGATGCCCGCGGCCACCCCTAACGCTCACCTTCTCGTCTCCGCGGCCGCGACGCGAGTCCCACCACTTTGATCTGCTTTTGGCTTTAGCAGAGGACCCTCCCGTCTCAGCCTAGCCCGGAGCCGAGGCACAGGCTACCGTCCAATGGCGTGCCGCGACTCCCCGGGAGTCCCACCTCCCGCCCCGTCCTTGACCAATGAGGACCGAGCGCGCGGAAGGGGGCGCCAGGGGCGGGGCGGGAGGGGAAGCGGAGGCTAGGAGGGTGGGTCGGCCTGGGCAAGTTGGGTTGGCCGGCAGGCTGCGGCTTCGGCCACGGGGTTTCCTCCAATTAGATCCAGGGTAAAAGGACGTCACTGTTGCCATGGCGATGCTGTTACCAACTCCCCTCATCCTCCCCGCCATCCCGGCACTTCTGGGTGCGGCAAGAGACCCAGAGGCGCACACGACCTCCGCGGCGGCCGCCGCGTCTCCTGATGTGGCGGCCACTGCAGATAGTGCGCGGCAGCTGGATGGCTTCTGCAGCTGCGGCTCCGGTTGGCCTCGGAGGGTGACCTAATCGGCCGTTTTGTTGCACAAGCGCCTTTCTGTCCTCCACCTTCGCATACGTGACAATGGTTTGGAGCTCAATAGGCTAAAAGCAGCCTTTAATGACGTTGCTGTTAGAGCWGCAAATTAGAAATAATCCCAACTCCATTAAAGAGCGATTAATCCCTGGAGAAAGTGGCTTAAGTATGGCTTTTACATGATAGATTAAAGTTTCCAGACAGACACCAGAAACCAGAAATTCCCTTGCAGAAGATTCAGGCCGGTTTTCTATGGCTGACAATGCCAGGTATCATGATTTTCTTTAAAATGTGAAATGACATTAAGCACATTTTGGGGGGGAAAAAACCCCACAACTATCCATCATAAAAAGTAATTTTTACATTTCTTTCCTACCTTTCCAGATTGTGCATCTGTCCATCTATTTATATAATACACGTATCTGTGAACAGTGGGCACACTTTTTGTTTTTTCCCTGATATTGTTTTTGAGAGGACACTTGTAAAACTAATATTCTCTCYCTGGGCATTGACTTGTGATTTTATTTCTGAAATGAGATTGCTCACCCCAGATGACTTGTATTTAGGGCCATCGCTAGTATTTTCCTTTCCTTTTAAGCTATTCTCTCTTCTTCTGGCACTTCTCCAGTCCCCCAACTTCCGAGTAAAGTGGTTGTCCTGCTGATTGTATGATGAAATTTGCCATTTGGGTTCATGCTGCTATGATTTCCTATTCCAGAATATCCAAGGGAGGATGGGTCATAGAAAGGCAAGGAATGCCACTGACACGAAAGAATTTGAATTCCAAGTGGAGAGAAACAGACCTGGAGACTCTCTAGAATGGAAGATCTGAGAGTACAGACAGATGGAAGGGAAAGGGGCAGACTTTCCAGAAATTCAGACTCCCTCCCAGCTACCCCTCCCTGTCCACTTGTAAAGGTTGCTTTGTGCTTTGATGGACCGAGAAGCCTGGTTGGAAACGGCCAGCTCTTAAGGCAGAAATGCCTTACTATGTTCCAGCATTCTAATGGAGGGCCTGCTGTTATTTCTGGAATCCCTGGTGCTGGGCTGCAGACACTTGAGCGTTTATGGCCCTGTGGGCTGGGGTGGAGCTGGACACAGAGAAATCCCAATGGAAAGAATTTGTGTGTGGAAGGTCAGATAAAATGCTTTCTTGTATGACCAGTGAATTTCGAGATTCCTGAAATAAAAGACAGCCCCAGACAAGGGGAGACTAGTGGAGATGAATGGGGGAGCTCCTTGAGGGAGTTTTCAGGGGTTGAACCTCAGTGGCCAGTAGTGAGGGGTACCCAGAAGGGGCACACACACTAAATTTCTTCTCAGAAAGTCTGGGCTCTGCTGACATCTCCCCAGGTGAACTTGGTCAAGATTTTTGCTTCTCTATATACCCATCAATAAAATTTTTGCTTTCACCCAATCAAATATTCATTGAACACCAACTTATATAAATTATGATCATCTGGAATTATGGGTGAAATGCTTTGAAACAATGACATACTGTGAAATTGCATTTCTCAGGGCCCAAAGGGACCTTCAGCATTTCGAAAGCCTTCTGTGCCTGAAAGAATTCAGGTTAGAGAAAAATAAGGCTCTGGACATAGAAAAACTAACATTTATTGAGTAATCAATTACATGTGTCATGCACTATTTTAAGTGMGTCTCAAGGATTAACTCAATCTATTTAATGCCAATACAAAGTAGGTACTAATAAGATCACCATCTACATTTCACAGACAAGGAAACTGAGGCACAGGATGATCAAGAATCATATACAAAATCATATACAAGAATCATATACATGGCTAATGAGCAGCCGAACCTGGGTAATTGGCACTCTTGTGATATGAATGCCAAATCCCATCCTTGAACTGCTGTTGTGGGTGTCTGATGGTATCTCTTTCCAGGAGTTCTAAAAAGAATCAGACTAGTCTCTGTCCTCTGAGATTTGCATCCTAATAAATATGAAGCATGTTAAGCATCACACCTAATGAGCTGGAAGAACTCAGGAACAGAGAACTAACAAAGAAAGTATTAAGAAGTTACTGCCTTATTTATTTGAAGTGTTTGTTATTTTTTCTAAATTACCTGGTAAGAAGAAACTGCTGGATAAGGGGGATTTTGTTAAACTTCGGACCAGAGGATCCTAAATCCAGGCCTTCTATTTATTGTGAATTKATTTTGGACACCCAATTGTCTCTGATCCTCAGTTTCCTAACCTATAACCTGTGAAAAGAATCACTAGCTCAAAAGGTTRTTGTGGAGGGTAAATAGGCTATCATAGGAGAATGCCAAGTGATAGCATGTGTCCAGGAACAGTGGGTTTTTGCCTCCTTTCTGTCTGCTTGGGGCTGAAGAGATGCCCATCCTGCTGCCAGGAGCCTTGGAGCCTTACAAAATGGTAGTGAAAGCTCATCTTTTGAATCRTTGTTGTAATTAGTGCAGTTAATGGCCCGCAGAATGACTACATTCAGTGTACATTTAGAAATGGATGGGTCCTCCTGGTTGAATTTACTCTCATAAATTGTTTCAGTGGTTTATTTGCTCAGCATCATCAGAGAGAAATTTCTTCCTCTTCTGCTATGTGGCAGCTGTTCACTGAACATAGAATGTGAACATTCTATGTTCACAAACATTCTATGTTTGTGAACATAGAATGTTCACAAACATTCTATGGGGCTTTTCACCCAAGTTTCCCACATAATTACTAGCAGTGCTTCTGTCAGTGGGCAGGCAGAGCTGCCTCCCTCCCCTCCTCCCCCGGAGTGCTAAAGGAGATCCCACAGGGTCAGAGACAGGTGGGGAAATCTAGAGAGCCTRATCATATTCCCAGTTTTGTTCAGTGTGATGGTTAAGTTCGTGTGTCATTTTGGTTGCAACATGGTACCTGACATTTGATCAAACATTATTCTGGATGTTTCCATGAAGGTATATTTGAATGAAATTAATATTGAAATCAGTGGATTTTGACTAAGCAAATCGAACTCTGTAAAGCTGGGGGGGGGGGCCTCATCCAATTAATCAAAGGCCTAAATAGCACAAAAAGACCAGCCTTCTTTGAGTAAGAAGGGAAGCTCTTGCAGACTGCTTCAATCTTCATTCCCAGCCTAGATTCTCCCCTGGTTCTACAGCAGATGACTTTGTCTCCAACCAGAATATCTCCTCTCCTGGCTCTCCATCCTGTTGGCCCAGATTTTAGATTTGGATTCGGAATTGCCAACCTCCATAACTGCCTATAAGCCAGTATATATATATATGTGTGTGTGTGTGTGTGTGTGTGTGTGTGTGTGTGTTTTCAAGTTATGGACCTACACACACACACACACACACACACACACACACACACACGTTCTATTGATTCCATTTCTCTGGAAAACCCTAATATCACTTACAAATGATATGGAGAACTTTTCATAATTCTAAATGAACAGACACTATCAGCTTCTCTCCTCTCTGTCCAGACCATGTGCTTTTTGAGGTAAAGTGTTTTCTTTTTTGATTTCTTCTTGCTGATGCCCTCTCAAAGGCTCAGAACTACCCCACAGTATGACTGCTTCAACCAAAGCTCAAAGAGGTTAAGTGACCTACCTGATTAGTAAACTTTAGAGTGAAGATTCAGAAACAGGTCTGATTTCAATGTCTATTACAACAAGCAGGACTCTGAGCTGCAAGGGAGGACAGGCGCTCCAGTGTTTGCTGGCCTGGGAGCAATGTTTAGTTTTTTGAGGCTAATGGGTGGCTAAGTATATATCTACTGGTGAGTCAGCCGCTGACTTTATTTTCATATGGAAACTGTTTTCATGCTCCATGTATCTGCAGCTAGAGAGGGGCCTCCATGTCCCTTGCCTATTCCCTTTGATTGTTTACATGTTTCTCTCCCATCCTCACCCACCTTCCCCCATCGGACTGTGTTTTTTCAGTAGCAAAATTACATCTCATCTCCATGTCCCTCATAAATTCCTGGCTTTCAGCAAAGGATTGTTCTGAGAGTGAGTCCAGACCACCAAGGGGTGGCATATCCAGTTACAGAGAAGGAAGACATTGAACGCTTACTATATGCACAACCACATCCAAAGTCACCAGGATGCTGTTGTGGTGAAGCACAGATACAGTAAACACAAGGTTGTACCTGCTTTGAGGTGCATACTGAGGACCTTAAAGCTGGCACAGAAGATCCCAGAGGAAGCATCTGAAAGAGTCACAAAGTTCCTGCAGTGATGCTCACGCGTGTGTACTTGAGCACTCTTCAACCCCAACTCAGAGTCCATTTCCCATTAATCCATTCAACAAAATACACAAGGGTCTACCTTGTACTAGATGCTGTCCTAGGAGCTGGAATTCCATAATGATTAAGACTGTCTGTGCCTACGAGGAGCTTGGCAGAGAGCACAGAGTGGTGCACCTAAACTAGAGGTCAGGGAAGGGCAAGTAAGGGTCCACCCTTTGCAATTCTATATACTCAATCGCCTGGTGTGCAGCCCATAGCAGTCCAGAAGTGGCTACTGGGAAGGTACAAGCAGAATTACAGGAGTGCTCTGAAATCCACTCCATTTCTTGGCAG